ACACACTATGAAATGAATCTTCTTTTCAATAAACATTGATAAACTGGCCATGGAATTAGAATGTGATATGAACACTTTCTTTGTAATATTTCAAATTTGTGAAAAAATGAGACAGTGATTGTTGGACAGAGCACCTAAAGAAGAAAAAATAGACCAACTGAACTACACTGAAAAGCACCTATGTTGATAATACAGAAAAAGAAATTCAGAACATAACTTGTTAAATTGGTAAAAAATATTGCCAGTTACATATTTTCATGAGCATTTATGTATAATTATCAGGGATTTTTGTATTCTAAAATAAAATCAAACTTGCTCTCATTTAGAAATGGCTAAGAATATGCATTGAATTTTTTCCAGAAAAAGTGCTAAAATAATTAACTTTGAAGCAAAAATCAAAACCACACTACAATATTTCTTCTCACACTCTAGTGAGTACATTGGATACATAGATGATAGGCAGATAATAAGCAAATAAATATTAGTAATAAAACTCAACAATTACAATGATTTGAAAGAATATAGGAAAATGGAAGCCTTTATAACTTATTAGTATATAAAATATATTGAATGTTTTGCAAAATAGTCTAACACACCCACAAAAATTGCAAAATAGTTTTTTTTTAAGATCTGGCAACTTCATTCCTAAATATATACTCAAGAGGGAAGTAAATAGATATCCATATATGTTCAAAGACACATATACATAGATTTCTGTAACAGTAACATTCAAAATCACCAGAAAATGGGAACAACTAAATGATCAGTTGATCAAAGAAATAAGAAAATTTAAGATTACCATATAAAGAAAAGTTATTTAGCCATAAGGAGACATTACACACTAACACAGGCTCCTCCCTAGTTAAAACCTGAAATCCTCATGCTGAGTGCAGGCCATCACAACTTCTTCAGGAAATGTCCAAAACTGGCAAGTCAAGAGTAAGGAAAACAAATGATTGATTACCAACAGCTGAGATGAGAAGGAAACTGGGGAACAGATGAATATGAGGTATATTTTCATAGTGGAATAAAATGTTCTAAACTTTAATAGCGGCAGTGGCTATGCAACTGAAAGTCTCCTGAAACTCAATTTGTGTAAACTGCTCTAGTTTATAATACATGGATTATTTCTCCACTTGATTGTTGTAGATTAAAAAAAATCCATAAATGGATTGTCATTCCAGGAGACTTGTTCACTTGCACATTAATGGCATAGGTAAATCTGAGTAAGTATTGACATGTGGAAAAAAGGAAGCAGCTTATAAATATTGAATTAGGAGGCTTTATTTTTGTCCGAAGACTGTGGTGCCATTAAACTACTAAAGTTGAAAGATGCAAAGGACATTGGAAAACAAGATATGTCCATCACTGGATGGCGGGATATTAAAATAAAAAAACCAAAAGAGAAATATCGTACTATCCTTATTCAAGAGTTAAAATGTCAATGTAGTCCCAAGGCAGCCAAGGATTTTGTTTTCATGCTTTCACATTCTGGAAGAGTTAATTCATTAATTTATGTTTCAGCCAACTCTTGACTGTTGCATGACTGTATTGCTGTGGAAAGCAAACATGAAAATACCGATGATGATTAAATTATTAGGTGCACCAAGAGATATTTTTGACTGTTTTGAGTAGTCTCAGAAAGGCATTCGAATGTCTGAAACATAAGAATATAAATTTAGGCTAATATACTTACAAATTATGTAGGACATCTTCTAAATTTTCAACAATCTGCTTTATGCTCTCCATTAGCAGATGATCCATACTCTTACTCAATTTAGGAAACAGAATTATCAAGGTAGCAAGGATTCTCCGCATCATTGTTGAGTTGTTCATCTATAATAGTGGCCTTTTTCCCTCTGGACCAGCTGTCCATGGCTCTGTTCAAATGGCTCCTTTTTTTAGCACTAAGTTCCACACTGTGCTTCAGAATACGATGCTACCACAATCCTCAGATTTAAGCCACTACTATCTCATCTGATTGGTTTATAATCAAAAAGTAGTTGTCTCCCTTAACTGTGGCATTTCTTTCCACAGTTTTATTGACCCGTGTTCAACTTGCAACAAAATATTTAATGGACATTTTCAGGAATTTCAGAGCACTTTAAAAAATTCAGAGTAGATGGAGTTAGAAGTTAATATACTTTATCTGCAAACCTTTTGGAAACACTTATAAATAATTCATAAGTTTAAAATTACTCAGTATTCTCCATAATGCACTGGAATTTGGTGCAACCCTGCTTTGAATTATCTGGGAGATGAGTCATCCCTAGCCAGCATATGCACACTACATGCGCTGTCCACCCATCATTAACTTTTGAGATATTTTGAGAAAGAAAAGATATTATATTCACCTAATATTCAGCACAACATATTGTAATATGTTCCATTTTATTTTTAGTTAAAGTTAATCTCTCACCTTGCCTACATATGGGAAAAAGTCAAATATAAACAAATGAATACATACAAATATTATACACAGATAAGCATCAATATAATAACCCAAATTTGTCTATTATTAATTTTATCATGGCTAAACCTACATATTAAATGAATTCCCAACCATAATATTTTTGAATAATTAAAGGGCTTATCAAGGCATAATCCCATCGAAGTTCAAAGATTTTAGAGTAGGGTTTCAGTATTACCCAATTTCAGGTATCTACTCAAAATCTTAGCTCCCCACAAATAAGAGAGGGAGCTATTGTGAACTAGTATTCTATGCCTCAAGAAAATATTTTTTGTTATGATTATTGATTCTTTTTCTGTTCTGTTAAAGGGTGAAAGAATTTCTAGTATACGGATGCTCTCTACAATAATACTAGTTGCTCTTCTTCCTCCTGTTTCCCAAGCACTCAGTGTTAAAAATCACTAGCTTCTATTTCATTTGCAAAGGGCAAAAAAACGATCCAGTGCTACAAAAGTCAATGGCCCATTTACAATTGCCACTTTTCAACACTCACCAGGTTTTTTTTTTTCTTTCATTTCTTTGATAACTGTTCTCTCACAGCTGATTTCATCGCAGCTTTCACATTTCTATACTGTAGGATCCCAGGAAAGAATGTTCTGGGTCTTGAACCAGCACTCACAGGGCATGCTGGTACTTCAGGCAACAGCTTAACTTGCTATGGCACAAAACAAGGCTCAATTAACAGTTTATACAGTAAGTCACCATATGCTGTAGGAAAGTAAAAGATACCTAAGGTTTTGAACTACTGAAATAGCATGACCACTTCAGTGCTACACAGGGCTATGAACAAACGTTATGTTGTATAATGCTCCTTTGTATGATTTGAGACAATATTAATGAGCTGATTTATTTCATTGAAATAGTTCTCTAGTGTAATGTAGGTACAGACAAGGAAATGTTTCCTAACCATTTTGATTCTCTGTATTCTTTCCTTGTCATGTTTTACAAACTGCAAACATCGTCTCTGTGTGCATATGAATTATTCTTTGTAACAACTACATATCACAATATCAATAACTGTAGCAGCAACACAATATGCTTTTATGTTCAATTTAGTATCCTCAATTCCTTTTGTAATAATGTAATTATATGGCTTCTTTAAATAAATCTGTGTATTATTTTCCCGGTCTTAGAATTAAAGCATATTTTTGAGATATTTATTGAAAATCTTCCATAATAGTATTTTTTAAAGATCTATTTATTTTCATTGCAAAGTCAGATATACAGAGAGGAAGAAAGACAGAGAGGAAGGTCTTCTGTCCGGTGATTCACACTCCAAGTGGCCGCAATGGGAACTGAGGTGCTTTGAATCCAGGAGCTAGGAGCCTCTTCCAGGTCTCCCGTGCAGGTGCAGGGCCTCAAGGCTTTGGACTTCACTCCAGTGCTTTCCCAGGCCACAAGCAGGGAACTGGATGGAGAAAAGTGCCACCGAGATAAAAATCGGCACGCATATGGGATCCTAGGCATGTAAGGCAAGGACTTTAGCCACTATGCTATTGCGCCGGGCCGCCGTAATAGTAGTTTTAATATTCTTTTAAATATATTTCATGGCCCCCGCACAGTAGCCTCGCGGCGGAAAGCCTCAACTTGCTTATGCTGGGGTCCAGTTAAGGGTGTCAATTTGTATCCTGGCTGCTCTACTTCCCATCCAGCTTCCTGATTGAGGCCTGGAAAAGCATTAACGGATGACCCAAAACTTTGGGACCCTGTACCCTTGGGGGACACCTGGAAAAAACTTCTGGCTCCTGGCTTCGGATTGGCTCAGCTCCAGCTATTGTGGCCACTTTGAGAGTAATCCAGCCAGTGGAAGATATTTCTGCCTGTCCGCTCTGTAGATCTGCCTTTCTAATAAAAATAAATGAATCTTTTAAAAGAGTTACAAATGAAAAATTTCATGATTTCCACATTTTACAGGTTATTATAATATCATTTTGGTCCAAAATCACATTATTCTAATTTCATCACAATACATATTATTTGATGACCATTGATATGTGGACTACAAATCAAGTTACTAATCAAATAGAACGTTTATTTCAAAATTCTTAAATGCAAATGGACTTCTTCTTCCTGTAAATATGCCATATACACCTTAAACAATCAACTACAACATTTAAATCGATGTATTGTTTTCTAAAATTACTCTTTTGCTCCTGAATGTCATTAATATTCATATTCCTTTGCTTTTAGCATTTTATATCCAATTTTCTATGGGAAAGTATAGCTTCTCTAAGAGAATAGCAACTATCTTAAGGTATTTTAATTTGCAAATGTATTTTTACTCAGTATTTTTTCCAGTATTGAAATATCTATCTGGAATGAAAATAATGCCACATTGTTGTATATCTTGTGTGCCATACTTTGAAGTAAATCTAGACTTGAAACATTAACATATTGAGCAAAGTTGTCTATACTGGCAATTACTTTTTACATTAAATATTAATATTTTAGATAAACCTATTCACGTCAAAGAAAACATTTTAAAGTAACCGATTTTAATTGCTCTTACGTGTTTTTCATTTCTTTTCAGGAGTTGGAATTTTCTAATCTGTTTGCTGTTCTTCACTGCATTCATTCATTCTTTGCTGCCAAAGTGGCTTGTTTGGACCCTCTATTTTTAGGCAGTCAGACGACTGCTTCTGCTGCTGCCAGCTCTGCCAGTACAAGCAAAGCGAAGTATACAACTTGACATTGGAGCTCTGCAGTGACATTTACAATGACTATCAAAAAAAAAAAAAAAAAAGAAAAAAAGAAAAGAAAATCAGCATATCCACTATGCTAGGTCCAAGAAAAACTACGGTATTAGGAAATCAGCAGTGCGGTCTAACTGAAATTTCAGCAGAAAAAGAAGGTCATGTGGTATCCTACGAACATTTCTATTCTGGAAGCCATCTGTGAATCATCCTAAATGAACAGAACAGCTTCTTCGACTCGACCTATTTGTACCAGTATGCTTTCACCCAAAGTGGAGACAAAAAAATTAGTGATTTGCAGAAGGTTGTAAATAATATAAAAATTGTAAGCTACCTATAAATAAAATTACCAATTAAATGGTTATTTCTGTATTTTAGATTATTTTGTATGACAAATACAAATTAGGCCAAATCATGAACTGTTGCCTGTTGTTTTATCCAGTGACATCAAAGACGGAAAAAAAAAAAGGAAAACAAAACAGAGAAATCTAGTGGGCAGCAAAGAGCATGCAAAAATCTCAACAAAGAAGGAAGCACTTTAATTTGCTGATGTAAATTTCTCCTAATTTCATTCCATGATTTACTCTGGCACTCTAATCATATTTTATCCATTGTGAAATATGCCTTAGAACTGTTAAGAAATAATTACATTGGCTTATGATGGGCACAAAGTGAAATGGACTTATTTTCTGTTGGGTTATTGTTAAAACATTTTATTAGCTGTCAATGTAACTAATACGCCAAAAATGCTTTCGTTTCATCATGAAGGAAACATTCACGAACCCCTCCTGTTTTTAAAACAATTTCTATTTTATTTGATGAGATTTATTATCAGATTAAACTTTCAGAAATGTTCAGTGACCCCAAGAAATGTATAGAAAAAAATACCAAAAATATGCTTTAAGAAATTATTTCATATGATTATAATTTTTTCATCATCAGCTGAAATATTATCAGAAAGCAATTCAGAGTTATTATGTTTTGGTGATTGACTAAGAATTTGCCCACTTTAGAGACGACATATAACAAAATGTGGTGAAATGTGAAAATAAAGGTTAAAATTATGTTTTTAATGATGTCGTCCAAATAATTAAGTAATGCCAAGCAATGCAGTTTATTCTGACTAACTTGTCCTAAGGCTACCAGGGCGAAGAGGCTGGGAATTTGCAAACATTTGGAGATACGCACACATGACTCAGCTTGCAGGATTGTGTCATTGCCTAACAGTGTCAGAAGTCACCTGTTCTTCATTACAGCTTCTCTGAGATCTGTCCCTAAACAACCAGCTGCTGATTGCATCTTTTGACACTAATATTCCCGACTAATCAGAACACTAAGTGTTTCTCATGAAGATGATCAACTATTTGATAGGGGAGCTTGGTTTTCTATTTAAAGTAGTAGAATATGTTAAGCTCAGACTGAGAAAGAATTATGTGTATAAAGGATAAATGTCGATTCGATTTAAAATAATTAACATGAGGCTGCTTTCATTACAAATTGCTAACTATTTCTGACATGGATAAATTTTTTTAAGTTCGGTCAAATAAAAAGTGAGGACTCATGATTAGCCCCAGAAAGTGTTGGATAGAACACACCTCAATAGAGAAATAAATAAATAAAATTGAACAAGTGTGCAAGAAATATTTTCCATGTATATTTTGATCAGACAGCTAAATGCATATTTATAGTTAGTATTCTAGTTAATATTTATTGTTCATAACTAGACCAAACACAACACTCTTCATAATATTTGAAGGTATTGGAAAGCAGCTGCAATAGGACACTTCCAGAACAATATAGAAAGTGAAGGGACCAGTAGCTCCTTGGGGGTTGGGAAAGGAGAAGTGACTGATAATGGAGCATGTTTCCAACTTCAGCTAGATCTCCATGTGTCACACATGGAAGCACACTCTATGGTGTGATGATCCACTATGAAGGAAATAGGAAACGCATCCATTTCCCAAATGCAAAATAATGAATTCAAAATGTTACATAAGTGCAAATAATTGTACAAAACAGATGGCTAATTTTGAAAAATTTCCATTTTTAATTACAAAATCCCCATTTTTTTGTCATAAGTCTAACACATATAAAGGATGAGTAGTATAATGAGGAATAATTTCCTTGTGCAACTTATACACATATATGCATATATGTGTGTTTATATTAGTGAAATTTGTATGATAAAGTATACCAAAACGGTGTGTTTCATATAAACACATTTAATGTTCTTCAAATTACATTGTAAATTGTAGCTTAACTTAAAGCATATAACAAGTTCAGTATTGTGATTATTTTTGACACTAATGATAAAATTGTCAGGCCTAAATTGCTGTCTAACTATGTAATAGGGTAGACTGCAAGTAGAAAAAAAAAGAAGAAAGAAAGAATTCAGATTTTCAACAGTTTAGAAATCAGTATTCCATATTGCAGTTCAGTGATTACCCAGTGTCATTTATTATGACTTGGGATTCTTGAATAAGAAAGTTCAGGAATGAACACAAATACTCATAGATTTCTATTTCTCTTGTAATTTAGTTAGAGAAGCATAAGGTTTAATCACCAAATTAGAGAGCACCTGTTAACAGAAAATATTTAAATATGTGTTAATCCTTCCAGTGCCTTGAATTCTGCGCGTGGTGTGTGTGTGTGTGTGTGTGTGTGTGTGTGTGTGTGTGTGTGTGTGTGTGTGTGTGTATTCATTCTTCAAAGGGTCCATTACAGCATATAATGCAAGCTTAAAGGGGGATACGATAGATATAGTGCTTGGATCAGAAAAGGGAGTTCAAAAGCATTTGAAAACCAACTACTATAATGAATTTTGCCTGATAATTTGTTTAAGGTGAAGAATATTTAAGCAGAAAATTCTTAATCTGTTATATTGCAGCAAATACTTATTTCAAAAATATTCTAATACATAATGAAATACAATATTGTACTCCAACCCATGCCACACAGGATTTTTTTAAAAGAAGAATTAATCAACTAATCATTTCTTGCCCATAATTCAGGCATGCACCAATTTAAACTTCTAAAACATTTGCTCATAAAACTGTCACTTGACACAGCGAAAAGCAATTACTTGAAAATAAATGTCAAGTCTATATGAGGTTTACAATCAGAGGCACTTTCCTTTGGGTGTTCTCATCTGCAGATCAACATTTCCCTTATTTACAGTGACAAAGATTGTCCATAAACTTTGTCTACACTGAATACTGCATTTAAGATAATCTTGATTTATTACTGAGGAAAATGGTAATCTTAATGATAATTTATAAGTCCTGCTAGAAATCTACAATGTGGAGAAGCTTTAAAAGCACAGGGACGAGCTTGTGCTTAACCTTCTGAGGTAAGTATACATGTTCCCCTCTGAGTAACAAATGTTTCAAAACTATTAATATTGCTGTACTCATGAGCTCTCCTGAAGGAATTGCTTTAGTCATACCTCTAAAATGGTTGATTATGATTTATTCTTATTAATACTTTAAAATCATAATGTCACTTATTTGCACCTTTGAATTTAGTTTTGAAGATAAATAAAGCATTATAAATGTTATATATTTTATACATATTAAAATACAATGAGAATACCAGAAATATGAATTGTAAATATATTTATTTCATTTTTAATTGTTTGGGTGTATCTTTGTAAAATGTAAATTACTATCTGTGACAAAAGCTTGTCACTTCATTGTTTCAGTTCATTAATGTATTACTAATAAAACCATACTTTTTTTAATGAAGCATACTGCAAAATAAAAAGAAATAGTTTTTACTACTTTTGTATTTTCAGTTATTTGAATTTAATTTATAAGTTTCCTGTGTATTTGAAGCATGATCATGAGACAGTCATTCACAACAACAACAACAACAAAATAGGATAGGCCTCACGTGCCATCAAGTGCAAGCCATTTGAAATATAATGTTTCTGGTCCATCAGTGCTTCTGAAGATTAGAGATTTGACCCCTCAGTGTCCTCAGGGGATGAAGAAAGATGCTACTGTTAACTTACTTAAACAATCAAAGAGTTATAATTTATACAGTCATGACAACTTTGAAATCTTTACAATCAAGCACAATGAGCTGAGTTTTGAAAAGATAGGCTGCCAAGTGTCATTATCTTGTCATGTGTAACTCAGGAGCAGTTCATCAATTCATACACTACACGATGACAATTGTAGTGTCAGAAAAAGTCAGTGATCACAGAAATCGTTTTAGGACAATTCTGATACTTGCATTAGTTTTCTTAAATAACAATTTTGTCTTCTCTTCTTTTTCATTTTAAATGCTGACTCAAAACGTTCTCCTGAAGAAACATATCACTACCATTGCAGGTTATTTAAATAACGAAATGCACTACAAGGAAAATGAAAAGATGACTTTCACCATCACAAAAACAGATGGAATAGCTAGTGTTTTATATGTATATATTTGCTTATGTAGAAATAAAACATAGTTTATACATTGACTTATAAAGATAATGATTTAATACTTAAGTATATTGCAATGGATAAAAACAAATAATGATTTTGGAGAAATACATGGACAAGATTGGAAAACATGTGAATTTTATGCAAATTAAATAATAGGTATAAAGGACCTATAATATATGTTTTATATTTGTTGAACAATTTAGACCTATTATCAACAAATTATATTGTATGTGTATATATTTTAATTGGTTCCTTTATTTATGTAAGAGCAAACACAGAGAAATCTCCCATCCTTTTACTTACTCCTAAATGACCATCACATTCAGGAGCAAGAGACATCAAAGCTAGGATATTATAATTCACTTTAAGCCTTCCACATGGGTGGGAGGAAGAAAAAGAAAAAAAGACAGAACTAAGGTGCATCAGTTTTAGTTCGTAGCAATTTGTCAAATTGCTTTAAATCTTTGCTGAGCACATTTACAAGAATCGTATACTACCATGATTTTAATGATTTATGAGTTTTAAAATCTAAGTAAGCAAAACTGAATATTCTTTTCATTTTTATATGCTTTTATATGCCTTTGTATGCATATAGTC